AATATTTAAACCGTGAATCTGTGAAATTATGCAGCTCTGCTTTTACAGTATTTTACAAGTGTTCTTCTCAAACATTCTCTACTGGAATTGTTTTCTTGTTAATTTATGATAATCTAAATGAACAAACGTAAATATTTCTTTGAATAAACTCTCGCCGTTCCAAGTTCTTGTTTGTTATTGCCAGTAGAGGAAGCCAATGAGGCGCAGATATGGTAATACATACAATGATATGTTGACTGACGATGTGATTGTTTCTAAGCGTGATGATAACATGATGAAGAACGCCTTAAAATATCAATAAATTAAAAGGATGACTCATCCCATTAAAAGGTAAGCTTATTTGTTAGTGTAAATTTAAAACATCTTTCTTCCCTTCCATGACAATAGGTGGCGCCTAGTTGTTGATTAAACGAAATTATAACAGTTATTTATCTAACTATGATATAATACTGCTGTCGTGAACATATCTAATTCAAAAACGTGAAGATAGAACTATCATTTACGTGTCTGGGAATCCCAAAAGTACAAATTAAAACCAGAAATATCCTGAGATAGAGGATTTAGTGAGTGCACGTTTTGTTAGAAACCAATTAAATTAATTAACACGAGATGGTTTTACAGATAATTATTCAGACACAGAATGATAAAGAGAATAAAACTGAGTCACTCAGTGTCATCATTTGTTTGTGTAAAGTAAAATCTCTGAGAGAAACAGCTGACCATGAAAATATTCGACATTTTATTGAAGAACTAGAATCAAGTTAGTTGATAACGCTTGGAGACGGCTTGAATGGGTAATGAAGAACAATTTTAATGTAGGTTTAACATAAGAGCAAATGTACAACGTTTCGACAAGGGTTTGTCATCATCAGGAATAAGTAATTTACACTGACACGGATATATATATATATATATATACAGTATGGTAGAAAGAGGTCACATGACTGGATATTGTTGCACGACTTAGAAGAGATATCTTGGCACCCCAGGGTGTTGGTTTAGAGTACGGTTGTTTTGTTCATTTAAGATGGATTCCTTGATTTTTCGTTTGTTTATGTTTGGTTCTTTGTTTAAAATTACTGTGTTTTTAATAGATATACTATGGTTTTTTTGAGTTGCAATGGTGGAAAACA